AAGGTGAGAAGAATCAAGATTGGGTGCTGGAGGACAGCAATGATGAACATCAAATACGACCTCAGAACCAGAGGGGTTTGGAGTTTATTTCACTATTTTGTATTAAGTCTTCATGGGGTATTTGGCTGGCTACTACCATGAAGGGTCTTTGGGATAAATGGGACTTAAAAGCAAAGGAGGGCAAGAGTATATCTGAGTGGTGGAAGGGGTCAGCTGTTGATGGACATTGCTTGTGTGCTACTTCATATTGTCTCTGACCCATGTCTTGTCCCAGACAATGCTGCAGAGACCAGTTCCAAGAAGATGTTGATGGGTTTTGCACACTACATTTCTCTTTCTACTGCCCTGGGTTTTTCTGATGTGATGGCATGGGACCCCCGTGGAATACCCTAAACACTCCAACATGCATAACCTGGAAGTGTAGGGGGATCATGCTTACGGGGCTAGCTTTGAACAATGGAATCCATCCCATGGATGAAACCTCTTTCATTCCACAAGTAGACAGTTCTGAAGTGCATTTCCTAAGAAGGTCCACTGTGATAGAGTACCTGCAGTGCTGATCAACGTAATAAAAACGCATTGTTGCACTGACTTTTCCTTCTCTGTTCCACTCTGCCTGCCTTCACTTCTCCCTGCGGTCACTTCCCAGATGAATTGCCTTTGTCAACTCACCTTTGTTTTAGCCTCTGCTTTGGGGGGAACCCAGTCTAGGATGCTAATCTTCACAATAGAAAATTCATTTCTTCTGACCTTCCAGAGCTGCATCCATTTCTTCTTTAGAAATGACTCCATACAACTGGGAGTTAACGTGCTTAGATAAGGCAATCCCACATTGGAGAATTAAGGCTGGCAGGTTTCTCTACAGAAGACTTTGCTAATGGTCCCATTTTTGTCCTTAGTTCTCTTTCTTGTAGGAGCTTGAAATAACACNCTTTGCTAATGGTCCCATTTTTGTCCTTAGTTCTCTTTCTTGTAGGAGCTTGAAATAACACACCCAATTTCTTTGAAACAAACAAACAAGGCAAATATCTAGCTAGTCTTTTCACATTAACTCTGCTCAGAAGTTGCCTGGTAAATATCCAGGATTTAGCAAATAACCAGTATATTAAAGTATTCCCCTGTACCCTTTAGTTGCTGTCATTTATTTTCTTTGCTGCTTCACAGAGTCTTGAAACCTTGTTTTCTTCCTTTTAAATGACAGGCTGTTTTCCTTGGCACAGCCCCAGAGTACAGCAACAGTTAAACTTGCTGCTATGTGAAAGGGCTGTATTTGTTTAGAAGTTACTCAGAAGGCCGTGAGAGCAGGCGACCTGGATTGTAGGAAGGAGCCCCAGGAAACTCAAGAGTATTTTTTTTTCTTTCCTGTCTTTTTTGCTCCAATGCTGGTTTTTCCTTGGCCAATAGTATTTTGTAATAAGGTCAAGCTTTATGCTAGTTGGAATTTCATGGGATATCAGACACATTGCTTTCTTATAAGCAATTGCTTACCCTTTCAAGAAAAGGAGCAAAAACATCGAGGAGAAAATGATGTATTTAGTACAGGGTTCTACGTGAAATGGTTCTTGATCATCTTCCCAGATTAACTTTGGAAGAGTAGACACCGTAACAAAGAAAAAGGATTGACTATGTACCCACACATCCATCATACACGAAGAGAGTTTCGGTCTGTGTTAAAAACTGAATGAACTTCAAAAATAACCAGCAGCTGTCCCCAACTGACCCATAAAGAGAAAAGAAATTAGAAATAGAAAGTTGAAAATCAGGAGGCTCAANAGCTTTAAATGCACTATTAGAAAAGAAGAAATTTAAAATCAATAATATAACATTTGACTTCATAAATCAATAAAGGGAAAAAGAAAATTAAATGCAAAGTAAGAAGGAAGGAAATAATAGAGATAAGACCAGAAATAATAAAAAATCATAAAGCATTGATATATATTCATGAGTAGTCTTTTCACTTGTGGAATTTGGGCTTCCTTTTCCTGTAAACATAGACACTGTCAGATCACAAATCCTTGTTCTTGGGGAGAATGCACCAGGGAATACATAATGTTTCCCATGAACTTGAAGCTACGACTACCACCTGGTTATTCGGGGCTCCTTATACCAATGGAACAGCCAACAAAGAACAAAGATATTAAAAAGGTGGGAGTAATTGTACTGATATCCCTGAGAGGTTAGGGTTGGTGCTACACAATGGAGGAAGAAGGGGTATATCTAGAAACTGGGATTCCTTGAGCATCTCTTGGCACTTCCATGTCTGGTAACAACTGTGATAAGTCAAGTAGAGGACACACGCTTTACGAGGATAAAGCAACTACGATTCAAATGCCTCAGGAAAGACCTGTGTTACTTTCTGAAAGGAAATAAATCTAGGTCAAGCCAAAGAACTGCCTAAAGGTGAGAAGAATCAAGATTGGGTGCTGGAGGACAGCAATGATGAACATCAAATACGACCTCAGAACCAGAGGGGTTTGGAGTTTATTTCACTATTTTGTATTAAGTCTTCATGGGGTATTTGGCTGGCTACTACCATGAAGGGTCTTTGGGATAAATGGGACTTAAAAGCAAAGGAGGGCAAGAGTATATCTGAGTGGTGGAAGGGGTCAGCTGTTGATGGACATTGCTTGTGTGCTACTTCATATTGTCTCTGACCCATGTCTTGTCCCAGACAATGCTGCAGAGACCAGTTCCAAGAAGATGTTGATGGGTTTTGCACACTACATTTCTCTTTCTACTGCCCTGGGTTTTTCTGATGTGATGGCATGGGACCCCCGTGGAATACCCTAAACACTCCAACATGCATAACCTTAGTGAATTTGAAGACTGTATGTAGACATTTTAAACAACATGCAGCTCTCACATAATTAAATAGTGAGTGACTGTGTTTTTGAAGTTACGAAAGGCTAGAGATCCAGATTTGTCAAATTGAAAGCACTGCAGGATTTTGCAATATTGACCTTGGGTTGGGGGATGGGGTTCAGAAAGGGGGAAAAATTTGCTCCACTTTTAGCTTTGTTATCAAAATAAGGAAAATTTTTGAACATCACAAATAATATATAAGAACATTTCTGAACATGGAAGTACATTTGGTGTTCACCTCTTCTGTTTAAATCTTGTAAGAATTAAGGAAAACAACCAGAAACTCAGAAACATTTACACTGGGGTTTAGACATGAACACTTAAGAATGCACCATTCTTCTGGTTGTACCAGTACAGGGTCCTGCCTCCCACATTTTTCCCTCCTGAATCATTTCTTTTTACTTACTTCCAGGACAATAGCTGGATTCTGCCTTATCATTACCTAATATCAATGAATCTGTTCCACATATTACCTTCAAGACTGTTTACCTTCTCCAGGATACAGGTAATAACATATTTTACTTTCATTCAGATGAATTTTCAGACTTATGTATCTCCTTTGTTAAATTATTTCATTTTTATTTGTGTTATTCCAACCCCTGAGAAGGAATAATCATTACGACTTTTACCTTAAGACATTTAAATTGTAATCAAGTCCAATAGTAGATGACCTTAAAAAAAACTGATTTATCTTATGAAAACCAGAATCGAAGAGACAAAAAAAAAGATGTACAATTTCCCAGGTTCAATTCTTTCATGAGATTATAAAGAATGAAAGCGATGACTATGTTATCATTAGTGTCAGCAAGTACCTCTTTGGGAAACATATGTTGCAATTTTAGAGATCCAAAACTGTAATAATCTTTTTTTCTCATTTTACCAGCATGATAGCACTTTGGCAATTACAACTTAAAGATGAAATGATTAGGTTGCTTAATTAAGTCAAACAGCTCTTTAATTCAATAAAATGCAGTTGAACTATTTTGCATTGCATAAATAAAATAGCTGGCTGTATCACAGAACTTTTCATTTTTGCAGCCGGAAGTATAGACATCGTATACAGATGCAAAGCCCAGTGGAAATAAGCTGATGATCACTTTTCGATGATTACAAAGGCTTCAATACCTATTTTCTGTATCTTAAATTATGTTCTTTCTGCCTATGACTTACCTTCTTGGAATACACAGACTATTCTCTTAATCATAGATGCAAAGCCCAGTGGAAATAAGCTGATGATCACTTTTCGATGATTACAAAGGCTTCAATACCTATTTTCTGTATCTCAAATTATGTTCTTTCTGCCTATGACTTACCTTCTTGGAATACACAGACTATTCTCTTAATCATTTGTGTTATTATCTATATGCTTCTCTTCTCGCCATTCATCGTTCCATTTTATTGCTTTTTCTCTGCTTTACATTTTCAGTGTTTAGAAACACAAAAATAGAAAATCCACCAGCTTACCATTTCCACCAGGGATAAATATAAGAACATCCCAGCAGTAACTGTTAAGATCCAGTCTTGAACACATGGATCAGCTGACACTGAGAGGCCAATGTATAATCCTATGAAGGCTGTTAGAGCACTTATAAAATTCATCAGGATGGCAGTCTTAATAGAAAGGCCAGAGCTTAAGAGCACAGCGATGTCTCCTGAAGATAAAAGGGAAAAGAAAGTATAATTATTATTCAACTGATGATGGCCTTAGTAAAGTAATATGCTGATCGGCTGTTTCAAATTTCAACACTGTAACCAATTTTATAAGTAAAGTTGAGTGATCAGTTAATAAAACACCTATATTTCTCTAGGATTCATAACCAACCCATTATACCATTAGGAAATTGCATTTCAAGGTTCTATTTCTTTCGCTACTTCTAAAGAGAGCATATACAGAGAAGTCTGTGACATATTTTTTAGTTCCTGATATCCTGTGACATTTTCAACTTAGATAAATGCAAAATTTATTTAAGAAAAAAAAAAGAAAGAAGAAGTCACTCGCTGTCCCAGAGTTTCTAAATCATTCTGCCTGGGAACTTGCCAGGTGAAATCATGACATTATATAGGTATTTATTATTTACTTATGCAGGAAGTGCTGTAAGGAAAGAGAAAACTACTTAATAAGAGATTTTTAAATCATTGCAGAAGTTGTTTAGGAAAACAAATTGTTCCTGTAGAAAATAGTTTTACTGACTTGATGATTTTAGGAAAATGGCATTATTCTTTCCACACTTTTCCTCCAAAAGAAGAATGACCTATTAGTAAATCTGAGAGCATCTATTTCTTAGTTTTAGTGATTGAGATGAGACTGAAATTCAATAAAGAGACAGCTTGGGGACTTAGTGTCTTAGTTCTACTGCATAACTGGTCCTATGAACAGGTTCTGAAGCTTCTTTCTGGTCTGCTACAGTCTGTGACACTGAGCTGTGGTTTGGGGTTGAAGATCAAGTGTTATTCCACTGTTACAGTAGCTAAATGCAGGACCATAGGGTATGGATCCCAGACCAGGTACACTTTAATGGGTTCAGGAGAGACCTTGGATAAACTGCTGCAGGAAGAATAGGTCGATAATAAGTAGGTGGAAGGACTTTGGTCAATGGACATTGAGCACAAGAGGACAAAGGTAACCCAAGGGACAGTGTAAGACTGAAAGTGGAAGCAGAAAGAGGGACTGCTAAGGTAGGGCAGGTGTGTGTTGGACCAGCCTCTACTATTTCTGGGTCTGTTTCAGAAATGTCTATTTAATACCATCATGGTTCCTAGGAGGCAGGATTTGAATTATAAGGCTATTAGAATTATCCAGAAAGAGAGACTTGTGTGCATCTGCTACCATATGCCTGTCATTACAATTTTATGCTTGGCTTTAAACATTTTATGTAAATCGGGTTAATGAAACCATGGTTTGGTTTTAATTTAAATGTTATTTTATCTCACTGGCCCATTTGCTAGCATAACGGGTAAAGTTCCCCTCTTAAAATTTTTCCCACAATTAATATGCAGATTTAAAAATCCTTGGCAAAATTCTCTAAAATAAGGTTTCTCTGAATGACATTCTCCTAGATAGAATTCTCTGGAATCCAAAAAGAGTCATTTCTAACCCTGGGAAAGATCATAAAGGAGTCTAATTAATTTGTGTCCCAAGGTACAGGAATTTCTCCTCCTAATCTTCTTCCTCTTATGGTTTAAATAAATTATAAGTGGAAAATATTCATCTTTCAATTGTACATTGGAAAAAGAATCCTACTGAACCATAGCTAGAAATATATTATGACTTTCTCAACAAGAAGGAAACAGTGATTCTACCATTGGACTTACCCATTTCATGTGGAATTTCATGACACAAGATAGCAATTGTCGTGGTCACTCCTGACTCGGATGAAGATGAGAAGGCTGCTCCTATTACTAGGCCATCTGCAAAATTATGCAGGCTGTCCCCAACCAGAATCATTATTGCTAACAAGCTAATGGCTTTGCCTAAAGAACCAAATAAAGGTGTGAGAAGCATTAACAGAGCACTGTATATTTCATGAATCCTTCAAATATGATCAACTTTCCCATCCACCTTTGACAATCTTGTATTGCATCTAATCAAATAACCTCACTTCGTTTCAGCTTTCAAAATAAGTCATAACTGGAGACGCAAATATAGTAACCAGCATGTTTGAATGTATGATCTGACTAATAATGAGATAAATTATGTACTGGCATTCACTATTTTATCATCTTGTCTAGCTATGCCAAAAGAAGAAAATAAAAACAATGTTACAACCTCCCAAAAATACCACTCATGACCTTTCCGTTCTGTATAGACTGAATGTTTGTGTTCCAACACTCAACTTTTTCCCCTGCAAGACAGCTGGCTAGTTACCCAGCTCTCACCGCTGATGTGAAGAAACAACAAAAGGATATTCCTATGCTGAGTGGAGTTTCTGGGAGTAAACATGGTGGCATAGAAAGACAGGTGAGGTACCTGACCATGGTTGGCTCAAAGTCAGGAGAGACTCTTCGCTGCAAGAAAAAGTATTCAAGGGGAATTCTCAACAGTCTCGATGTGACATGGATGCCTGCAATCCAACCTACAAGGGAGCTGTGCAGCCCTTGCAGACTGTGAGCCCAGTGTGGGGAGCCTCTCAGAGCCACCCACGTGACTGCATTAATCCAGACAGAGAATTCACACTGAGCTTCCTGATCCTCTGGGTCCTGGGCTGCCACAGAACATCATGATTTGGGGATTGGACCCAACAACAGAGTGTATTTTGACTTCTAAGCCCAGTAGCCCTGTCATCTCCACAATGCTAAGGCCTCCTCATCACACCATGACTTTGGCTTTGGCACCCAAGCCAACAAAGTGCCCTGTTTGCCTGGGAAAGGTGGTCCAGAACAGTGTGAAGGGCACCCCCAGGACAGAGGGAGCCAGTGCTCACACTTTACAGAGACTGAGAGCCAACTGGTCTGGGCCTTAGGGTCACCCAACTGGCAACTCTGCTGCTCTCAGTCAATCACCTGTGAACTTCTTCTGGTGGCACAGAGTCCCACCATGGCTCTGGCAAACCCACTCAGAGCCACTGACTCCATCTAAGAAGCTACAGAGATTCTGCATGCCAATCTCATGGGCAGAATGTCCTGTCTGTAGCTCCGGCAAGCCCTCCTGATGCCACCCGGAGGAGTTGAAGGCAGCACAATGTCTCTCTTTTGGGCTTAGAGTCCTGCCCACTAATCCAGTATCCTTGCCTGAAGTGGTTCACTCCAGCTGAGAAGCTGCAGAGTGACCTAGAGTCTCTCTTGGGGCACAGCAGCCCATCCGCAGTAACCTTGCATGGGGCATCCCACTCCAGCTGAAGAGCTTCACAGTGACCCAGCACCTCTCTTGGGAGTGCAGGGTCCCACCCATGAACACAGCAACCTTGCCCAGTGCAGCTGACTCCAACTATGCTGCAGACCACCCCAGCATCTCTCTTGGGGGTTCAGTGTCTTGCCCATGACCCCAGTGACATCTCTCAGTGTGGTCCACTCCAGCTGAGGAGCTTCAAAGCAACCCAGTGATTCTCTTGGGGACATAGGACCCTGCCCACAACCCTAGCAACCTCACCCAAAGCAGTCCACTTCAATGGTGGAGCTGCAGAGCATGCTAACATCTTCCTCAGAAGTCCAAGATCCCAGAAGCAGCCACAGCAACCCCAACCCCACCCAGGGTCACCCACTTTAGCTGAGGAGATGCTGAGCACTCCAGAACCTCTCTGAGGGCACAGGATCTGGCCACAGCATGTGCAAGGCTGCCCAGGTTCACGCACTCCAGCTGAGGAGCTGCAGAGCACCCCAACACTTCTCCCAAGATCCTGAAAACTCACCCAAAACAACAGCAACCCAACCCAGTGTCGCCTATTCAGCTGAGCAGCTTCAGAATACCCTACCACCTTTCCAAGGGTCTGCAGTCATGTCTATTACTCTGGCAACCCCACTGACTTTAGCAGAGAAACAGCCGATTGTCACAACACCTCTCTTAGAACCCCAGCTAGGGTCATCCACTTCAGCTAAGGAAGCAACTGAGCATATCAGTTCATCTGCCAGGAGATCAAGGGACGGCCTACAGCCCCAGCAACCCCACCAGTGTTACATACTCCAGCAAGGAGCTTCTGAGTGTCCCAGCACCTTGACCATAAAAGTACTCACAGACAATTCTGATGTTGAATACAGTCAAAGAGATCGCATGAAGACTACACTCACCCAGAACCAAAGCTAAAACACCCTATCCAACTGACACTGTAGAGCACGTCTACAGGAAAGAGTCTCTCTCTTCAAAAGCTACTCCAGAAAACTAGAAGTGACTGTCCCTCCAGATGCTCAGACATCAATGCAGGGATACAAGAAACATAAAAAAAAAAAAAGTAAACATGACATTCCCAAATGAATACAATAATTCTCCAGTTCCAGACCCCAGAGAAGATGAAATCTATGAAATGCATAAAAAGGAATTCCAAATAATCTTGAGGAAACTCAACAAGATGTAAGAGAATACAGATAGACAACACCATGAAGTCATAAAAATAATTCATGATCTGAAGGAGAAATTCAACAGAAATAGATATCATACAAAAGAAACAAACAGAAATCTTGGAAATGAAGAATTTATTAAATTAAATAAGAAATATACCAAGAGCTTAGGCAACAGGCTAGATAAATCACAAGAAAGAATTTCTGTCCCTAAAGATAGGCTTTTTGAATAACCTAGCCAGACACCCCCCCCCCCAAAAAAAAAAGAATCAAAAGAATGAAGAACGTCTAAGAGATGTGTGGGACAACTTTAGGCATCAAACCTCTGCATTATGGTTGTTCTGGAAGGGAAGAGAAAGAAAAAATCATTGAAAACCTATTAAATGAAACAATAGCTGAAAACCTCCCAAGTAGTGAAAGAGATATGACTTCCACATCCAACGGATTCAGATGCCCAAACAGTTTTATCCCATAAAAGGTCCTCTCCAAGATACATTGTAGTCAAATTGTCAAAAGTCTAAGACAAAGGGAGAATTCTAAAAACAGCAAGTGAAAAGCATCAAATCACCTATAGGGGAATCCCCAGCAAAGTAACAGCTGATTTCTCAGCAGAAACCATACAGGCCAGCAGAGAATGGAATGATATATTTAAAGTGCTGAAAGAAAAAAACTGCCAGTCAAGTATATTATACTCAGCAAAGCTATCCTTCAAAAATGAAGGAGAAATAGTGTCTTTCCCAGAAAAACAAAAAATCCTTCAAAAATGAAGGAGAAATAGTGTCTTTCCCAGAAAAACAAAAACTGTGGGAATTCATTTCCACTGAACTAGTCCTACAAGATACCCTTAAGGGAGTCCTACATCTGGAAGCAAAAGAATAATAACTACCATCATAATAACACATGAAAGAGTAAACCTCATGTGTAGAGGAGATACACATAAGAGAAATAAATTATATCTTACCACTTCAAAAAACAAACAAACAAAAAACACCAAATAGCAAAGACAATAAAAGAGAAGGAAATAAATAAATATATAAAACAACCATAAAACAGTGAACAAAATGTCAGGAGTAAGTCAATACTTTTCAATAACAACCTTGAATGGAAGTGGATTAAATTCCTTATTTAAATGATATAGACTGGTTAAATGGATTAGAAATCAAGACCCAACTATATGCTGCCTACAAGAAACTTATTTCACGTGTAAAGACACACATAAACCGAAGGTGAAGGAATTGAAAAAATATTCCACACAAATGGAAACCAAAAATGAGCAGGAGTAGCTGTATTTATATCAGATAAAATAAACTTTAAATCAAAAACTAGATTAAAAAAAGGGCATTATGTAAGGTTAAAGGGATCAATTCAGCAAGAGGAGATAACAATTGTAATTATACATGCACCCAACATCAGAGGACCCAGATATATAAAGCAAATATTATTGGATCTAAAGGGAGAGGTAGACCCCAATATGATAAGAGTTGGGGACGTCAGCACTCCTCTCTCAGCAATAGCCATATCATTTAGAAAACAAATCAATAAAGAAACATGTGTTAGGCCACAAATCAAGTCTCAACAAACTTTTGAAAATTGAAATCATATCAAGTATCTTTTTAGACCACAATGGAATAAAATTAGAAATCAATAACAAGAGGAACTTTTGAAACTAAACAAATGCATGGAAATTAAACAACTGCTCCTCAATGACTAATGGGTCAAAGAAGAAATTGAGCAGGAAATCAAAAAAATTGCTCAAAACAAATTAAAATAGAAGCACAACCTACCAAAATCTATGAGGTACTGCAAATGCAGAATCAAATGAAATGGAGACAAAAAAAGATACAAAAGATTGACAAAACAAAAAGTTTGTTTTTTTAAAAAGATAACCAAATTGACAAACCATTATCTAGACTAAGAAAAAAAGAGAGAAGACCCAAAAAATGAAAATTAAAAATGAAAAAGAAGACATTACAATTGATAACATAAAAATAACAAGACTCATTAAAGGCTATTATGAACAACTATATGCCGACAAAATGGAAAATCTGGAGGAAATGGATAAATTTCTGGACACACACAACTTACCAAGACTGAACCAAGAACAAAGAGAAAACCTGAACAGACCAGTAACAAGTAATAATATTGAATAAGTAAGCAGCAGTCTCCCAACAAAAAAAAGCCCAGGATGAATGGCTTCACTGCTAAATTCTACCAAACTTTTAAAGAGGAACTAATACTGATTCTTCTCAAACTATTCCAAAAAATGAAAGCAGAAGGTATTCTCCCAAACTCATTCTGTGAGGCCAGTATCACCCTGATACCAAACCAGAAAAAGGCACAACAAAAAAATAAAACTACAGGCCAATATCCTTGATGAACATAGAGGAAAAAATTCTCAACAAAATACTAAAATCTGAATTTAACAGCACATCAAAAAGATTGTACATCATGATCAAGTGGAATTTATCCCAGGGATGCAAGGATGTTTCAACACACACAAATGAATAAATGTGACACACCACAGCAACAACATGAAGAACAAAAACCATGTGATCATCTCTATAGATTCAAAAAGAGTGTTTGATAAAATTTAACATCACTTCATGATAAAAACTCTCAATGAATTAGGTATAGAAGGAAAGTATCCCAAAATAAAGGCCACATACGACAAACCCACAACTAGTGTCATTCTGAATGGGGAAAAACTTTCAATTTTTCCACTAAGAACAGTAAGAAGACAAGGATGCCCTCTCTAACCACTCTTATTTAACACAGTAATGGAATTTCTAGCCAGAGCTTTAGGCAAGAGGAAGAAATTTTTAAAAATCCAAATTGGAAAAGAGGAATTAAAATTGCCCCTGTTGCAGATGACATGATCTTATATATAGGAAAATCTAAAGACTCTACAAAAATCTCTTAGAACTGATAAAAGAATTCAGTAAAGTTGCAGGATACAAAATCAACATAAAAAAATCAGTCGTGTCTCTATATATCAACAATGAACTAGCTGAAACAAAAAGTAAGAAATCTATTCTATTTACAATAACTATAGAAAGAAAGAAAGAAAGAAAGAAAGAAAGAGAAAGAAAGAAAGAAAGAAAGAAAGAAAGAAAGAAAGAAAGAAAGAAAGAAAGAAACGAAAATACCTAGGAATAAATTTAACCAAGGAGGTGAAAGATCTCTACAATGAAAACTGCAAAACATTGATGAAAGAAATTACAGAAGACACAAAAAGATGAAGAGAATAAATTTAACCAAGGAGGTGAAAGATCTATACAATGAAAACTGCAAAACATTGATGAAAGAAATTACAGAAGACACAAAAAGATGAAGAGACATCCCATATTCATGGATCAGAAGAATTAGCATTGTCAAAATGACCATACTACCTAAAGCAATCTACAAATTTAGTGCAATCCCTAATAAAATTCCAATGACATTCATCACAGAAATAGAAAAAAACAATCCTAAAATTCATTTGGAACCACAAAGGACTCTGAATAGCCAAAGTGATCCTAAGCAAAAAGAGCAAAGATGGAGGCATTACACCACCTGACTTCAAAATATACTACAAAACTATAGTAATAAAGACAGTGGTACTGGCATAAAAACAGATACATGGACCAATACAACACAGTAGAGAACTTAGAAATAAATCCACATGTCTGCAGACAGCTGATCTTTGACAAAGGTGCTGAAAACATACACTGGGGAAAGTAGAGCCTCTTCGATAAATGGTGCTGGGAAAACTGGACATCCATATACAGAAGAAAGAAACTAGATCAGTACCTCTCACCATATATCAAAAACAACTCAAAATGGAGTAAAGACCTAAATTTAAGATTTAAACTTTAAAACAACTAGAAGAAAACATAGGGAAAACACTCCAAGACATTGGTCTGGGCAAAATTTTATGGAGAAGATTTCTGAAGCACAGGCAACAAAAGCAAAAATAGACAAATGGAATTACATAAGACTAAAAGCTTCTGCACAGCGAAAGAAACAATCAACAGAGTGAAGAAGCAGTCAGCAGAATGGAAGAAAATATTTGCAAACTATTTATCTGACAAGAGATTATTACCGTAATAACTTCGTATAGCATACATTATACGAAGTTATCGACAGAGCACTGTATATTTCATGAATCCTTCAAATATGATCAACTTTCCCATCCACCTTTGACAATCTTGTATTGCATCTAATCAAATAACCTCACTTCGTTTCAGCTTTCAAAATAAGTCATAACTGGAGACGCAAATATAGTAACCAGCATGTTTGAATGTATGATCTGACTAATAATGAGATAAATTATGTACTGGCATTCACTATTTTATCATCTTGTCTAGCTATGCCAAAAGAAGAAAATAAAAACAATGTTACAACCTCCCAAAAATACCACTCATGACCTTTCCGTTCTGTATAGACTGAATGTTTGTGTTCCAACACTCAACTTTTTCCCCTGCAAGACAGCTGGCTAGTTACCCAGCTCTCACCGCTGATGTGAAGAAACAACAAAAGGATATTCCTATGCTGAGTGGAGTTTCTGGGAGTAAACATGGTGGCATAGAAAGACAGGTGAGGTACCTGACCATGGTTGGCTCAAAGTCAGGAGAGACTCTTCGCTGCAAGAAAAAGTATTCAAGGGGAATTCTCAACAGTCTCGATGTGACATGGATGCCTGCAATCCAACCTACAAGGGAGCTGTGCAGCCCTTGCAGACTGTGAGCCCAGTGTGGGGAGCCTCTCAGAGCCACCCACGTGACTGCATTAATCCAGACAGAGAATTCACACTGAGCTTCCTGATCCTCTGGGTCCTGGGCTGCCACAGAACATCATGATTTGGGGATTGGACCCAACAACAGAGTGTATTTTGACTTCTAAGCCCAGTAGCCCTGTCATCTCCACAATGCTAAGGCCTCCTCATCACACCATGACTTTGGCTTTGGCACCCAAGCCAACAAAGTGCCCTGTTTGCCTGGGAAAGGTGGTCCAGAACAGTGTGAAGGGCACCCCCAGGACAGAGGGAGCCAGTGCTCACACTTTACAGAGACTGAGAGCCAACTGGTCTGGGCCTTAGGGTCACCCAACTGGCAACTCTGCTGCTCTCAGTCAATCACCTGTGAACTTCTTCTGGTGGCACAGAGTCCCACCATGGCTCTGGCAAACCCACTCAGAGCCACTGACTCCATCTAAGAAGCTACAGAGATTCTGCATGCCAATCTCATGGGCAGAATGTCCTGTCTGTAGCTCCGGCAAGCCCTCCTGATGCCACCCGGAGGAGTTGAAGGCAGCACAATGTCTCTCTTTTGGGCTTAGAGTCCTGCCCACTAATCCAGTATCCTTGCCTGAAGTGGTTCACTCCAGCTGAGAAGCTGCAGAGTGACCTAGAGTCTCTCTTGGGGCACAGCAGCCCATCCGCAGTAACCTTGCATGGGGCATCCCACTCCAGCTGAAGAGCTTCACAGTGACCCAGCACCTCTCTTGGGAGTGCAGGGTCCCACCCATGAACACAGCAACCTTGCCCAGTGCAGCTGACTCCAACTATGCTGCAGACCACCCCAGCATCTCTCTTGGGGGTTCAGTGTCTTGCCCATGACCCCAGTGACATCTCTCAGTGTGGTCCACTCCAGCTGAGGAGCTTCAAAGCAACCCAGTGATTCTCTTGGGGACATAGGACCCTGCCCACAACCCTAGCAACCTCACCCAAAGCAGTCCACTTCAATGGTGGAGCTGCAGAGCATGCTAACATCTTCCTCAGAAGTCCAAGATCCCAGAAGCAGCCACAGCAACCCCAACCCCACCCAGGGTCACCCACTTTAGCTGAGGAGATGCTGAGCACTCCAGAACCTCTCTGAGGGCAC